ACCCCCACCGGCCCCCACAACATACACTCCTCTCCCCAACCTTCCGGTGACACCAGAGAGAAAAAAACACGAGTGTCCGTCCACATACCACTGCCTTTCCCCAGATCTTTCCAGGACTGATGGCGGTTGGAAGTTAGGCGCCACCTCATTGTTCTAGAAACGACGGTTCCCTCAGACCTCACTCAGAGTTCGCTTCTTTCATTTCCTTCAGAGCATAGTACCCTTCCTCTAAATTCAAGGCCTTCAGCTTCCTGAGCCTCCAAATAGGGAGGGTAGCTTCACACACGTGTGACCGCCATATTTGATTCCCCCGGGAGCCACGAGGAACCAGGCATGGCCTTGGTGGCACCTGTTACCTACTTTTTCTCCCCTTGGTTTTCGTTAGGGTCTTCTCCCCCCTCCGCTGAACTGGCGTCTCCCCCCAAAGCCTTCACGTTCTTGCGACCCCCTAGGTGGAAATCTCTTTCCGCCTGACTGACCACTCTGCCGAGGGCCCCGTAAGACTGAGAGTAGGCGCGGGGGGCAGTGGGGAGCAGGGGACGCACTATTTGTGGGGAGGGAAGTATTCTCTTATTCCTTAATCGGGCTTCTTACCTTGACTTGCGCTCGGGCCTAGAAGATTCCTCAGTCGCCTGCCCTGAGGAGCGGCAGCCGAAAGGAACGTCTCTCCCCTTCCTCAGGCGCCCCAAGAGGAAGTGAGGGTTCTTCTTCCTGTTACCAACGATAGGGCCCGTGAAGGCTGGCAGCGGGGGGCGGGATCTCTGGTGCCCCCTCTGTTCGGGAGTGGAGAGGACTCGCGGTTTCTCTCCACCACCACCCTCTTACCTCCTTGATACTTTTCTTTAATAGGTCAGCTTGACAGCATAGGTGTGAGAGCAGGTGAGGGTAAGTTGATGCACGACTCCCTGTATGCCTGTATGTTATTTTCGTCAGTTTTCATTTATATCGGTCCTCATCTTGGCTTCTGTCTCTTTAATGAAAGGCTTCCAGAGCGCTGCCACGTCCCTACGAACTGTTTAGTAATCTCTTTAGTGCCCATCTTAGAGGGGACGAGTCTGTGTCCCAGGGGTGATCGGAGACGCGAACGGTGAAGAACGAGAAACTGGACTTAGGTTGGGAGAGGGAATGTCAGAGGAAAAACCCTGCTGATACATTTGTTCCCTTGACCCCTGCCCCAGACTTGGTCTTTTAGGTAACTTCTGCTCTGTAATACTTAACTGTAGGAAACAGGCTGAGGCAGATAATCTCACGAGACCGCCATGTTTTGAAGCTAGGCTACACTGCATATGCAGATCGTCATATGTTATCAGGTATTGTATCTTTCCTTTCAGTATTCATACCTCTCATTTATTTTGGTATTCTTATTGCTCTGTATACGTATTCCAATTTTTTCCCCTAATGGACTAAGATATATTTTGGAGTAGCACCAAGGAAAGTGAATAAGGTATACAAGGTCTGTTTCAGGGTGGGAGTGGTAGCCCAATACATGCCCTGGATGAATGCACACTAGGGGTCTAGTCTAGCTCTGACACCACCTTGTGAATATGAGAATATTTGAAGTTCTTCATGTGCCAACTGAGTTTGGTAAACTATCTTGTAAGACTGGGAGTGTGTATGCTGTATATAAAGCATCTGTCAGAATGACTGGAAAATATTGGGCACTTAATGAAAGACAGTTATGATTTTTACCTAGGCAATATCACCCTCCTATGTAGGAATGTTTTTTCAATCCAGGATATGTCCTAGGAAATGGAATACTCCTAGACAAAACAAGATTGAAGCAGCCAAACATTCACTTTAGCAGGTAGAATTAAATAGATTTTCCCCATTAGGGCATGTTTTTAAAAGTTTGTTTAATTTGATGGAGAGAGAGAGAGAGAGTGAGCACAAGCAGGGGAGGAGCAGGGAGAAAGAGAGAGAGAGAGAGAGAGAGAGAGAGAGAGAGAGAGAGAGAGAGAGAATCCCAAGCAGGCTCCACACTCCATGCTGAGCCTGATGCAGGTCTCAATCCCACGGCCATGAGATCATGACCTGAGCCAAAATCAAGAATCAGACACTTAACTGACTGAGCCACCCAGACACCCCCAGAACATTTAATTTTGGTGTGTGGTTTTTCTTTCCCCACCTGAATGCAACTCTGAACTCCTTGGATTTTGTCCAGGACCAACTCTTTAAGCTTTTCCCTGTTGTCCTTACATTCAAATCACCTCTATTTTCATTTGTTTCCTCCCCCACCCCCAGTCCCAAAATGTAGCCTTCTCTTAGAATTCGCCAAAATACAGTCAAGATAACCTAATTAAAATGCTCTTTTAATAGAGTGGGCTCTGTACCAGTTCCAAGAACAAAGTATCTATACAGTGGCTTCTGTGTATGTCATCTCAAGGGAGTTCACCCTTTTATCTCAGAGAGTCCCTGGAGACAGTGTTTAGAATAGCTATTTGTGCACTATATTCTTTTGTATTGAGACTGGAATGAAGACGCTCATGATTTCTGCTTTTTCAGAGCTGAATTGTGTCCCCCCAAATTTCATGTTGAAGCCATAACCCCCAGTACCTTAGAATGAGACTGCAGTTGTAGATGAGATCATAAGAGGTGGTTAAGTTAAAATGAAGCTTTTATGGTAGGCCATAACCCAGTCTGGCTCATGTCCTTATAAGACCAGCACCCACAAAGAGACACCGGAGATTCATGCACACAAACAGACAGCCAAATAAAGAGGGTGGCCATCTAGGAGCCCAGGAGAGGAGACTCAGAGCACACCAGCCCTGCCAGCTCCTTGACTTTGGACTTCTAGCCTCCAGAACTGTGAGAAAATAAATTTTGGTTTAAACCACCCAGTCTTTGTTATTTTGTTACGGCATTTCTGACAGGTTAATACACTGCCCCAAGTAGAGATTTCTCTCTGGATTATCTACGAAGCCAAAGTAATTTCTAAGAATCTATTTTAATGGCCGCCTCTCTACCCCCCGAGGTAAGGAAGGAGCCTCCACACTATGGTTACGTGGAGTTGACACATGCAGCACTGGACAATGTAGACATGAGATAGACAACCAGTTATTAGCCATGTTTCCTCGCTGGCTAGGGGATAAGGCACCATGTGCTACACAGTGCGACACGGGGATACCGGTCAAGAACACAGTGAATGAGGGAGTCTGTGGGAGGCGTAGTTTGGTGTCAAGAGCTTGAGGTGACCTTTCATTCCAGTGGTGCTGTGTCATCAGCTTCTTTGAATAATTTTGCATGCTAGTAGGGAACAGAAATCTGCCGCTTAGGAATAAGCAAGGTTTGTGCCTTGTTCCCTTGATAAAGATGACGGTTTGGTAGGGGCCCTTATCTGTAAGTACAGAATATCGAGGGGGAACTTCCAGTAAGACAATTTGAGGCCCTGTAAGTTTCACTAAATGTCAAGGAGCACGTAATATTGAACCTTAATTTGAGAACGTACAGCTCAGTGTAGTTTTCGATTCAAGGATTTTTCTTTTCTCTCACGTCTGAGATGCATCATCTTAGGGTATGGCATCTGATCACCATTCCCACAACCTCAGTCTAGTCCACTGCATAGTTTAATTCGAAATTACATGACATGGTTTGACCCACAATATCCCAAAACTTAAACGGTCTTATTTGGGGGAACTTATACTCTGCCTGGCCCCAGGGAACCTCCCTTCTCCCTCATTGCATTTTTTTGTTTTTGTTTTACTTTTTTGTAAGACACAGAGTTTTGGGATCCTTATGATCCCAGCTACTAGTTTGTAAAATTCTATGGGAAAGGCTGGGTCTTTATCTTAGCATCCCCACTCCTAGCATGGAGCCTTCCAGAAAGCGTGTACTCAGTAGACATTTGGGGAATAAAAGGGAGAATGAGGTCTAACTTGTTATGATTTGGCATATCCTAAAACTAAACATATTGAGGTATAAATTATTTAATTTTATAAAACAAAAGGCTGAAAGGAGTAAAGAACACCAAAGTTGATCGTGTTTTATTGTTTTTTTATATTCCATTATCACAATACATTTACAATGAGGTTCTTTTACATTTCCATGAAAATCCCTATTGTGAGGTTATGTTTTCTTACTGCGATGATTTTTTTAAAAAGCCTCAGACTTCAGTAGTCTGCTGGAAGTGACCCTGTTACACACAGTGGCTATAGGTCTGGCTTCAGCTCTTACTTCCTCATCTTCCAAAGTTTCTTTATATCTTGCTGAGAAGACACTGGGAACTGTGTCATTGAACTTGGCCAATAATTCAAGGACTTTCATCTTGATGGTTTCAGTGTGGGCTTTTGGGCCCCATAGGAACTCATAGCATGGAGGATCACTGTTGGACACTTGGCAGTGTTCTAGGTACTCTAGCTTCACCAAATCTTTGGTGATGAGCTTCTTAGGCTCCCCATAGATGGAGTGCTTCCTCCCACCATATACTTGCATCATATTCAGGCATTTCCAGATGTCTTCCTCAGCAGCACAGTCGCCCTTCATGAAGATCACACCCAGGACTGTCATCAGGGTAGACCGGTCTTGGGTAACCCCCTTGCGGGCGCACACCCTCCCATTGTTAGGGAGTTTCACTTTGCTGACAAGGTCATAGGAGTGGCTGGTTGAATCCACTTCCTTGAAGTCTACTGCAAAGACAATCTCGATATGTTCAGAGGCTCTCTTAATGATTTCAGAATAGTATTCTTTGTAAGTTTGGCCACTAATCTTGAGCATTCCTTCAGAATGGGCTCTTTCATTTTATATTGGTACAGAAGAAACTGTTCCAACAAACCCATCAAAGCATGTGATCTCAGTAAAAGGTGGGGGCCCAGAGAAACATAGATGTTTCTCATCTTGGCTATTCTCACCATCAGATATTGTACCAAACATTTCTGAAGAAGTAATGGTGGTAGATGGGGCTCCCCAAGACTCTTTGGAAGTGCTAATTGAGTCATTAGCTGATAAACTCTGGGTATTACCTTCTGAAACAGGGGAAGAAGAGGGAGGAGGACTCTTCCACTGCTACAGGGGCCTGAACTCTTGTGTCACCTCGAGACTGGTGGCATTTCTCATGAGTGCAGTGCTTATTCTTCTGACCCTGAGGGATGATGGCTGTGATCAAGGTCAGTGGTCAGGAGTATGAGTAGGAGAGCAGGTGGTGAGGTCCCACTAGAGGAGGAGGAAGGTTGATGGGGTGTGTGCACCTTTATAAAGAAGGTACACTTGGTTTTCCTCAAGGGCACTTCTCTCACCACCCACAGGGCTCCTTTCCTCCCAGTTGGCTTATCCCATGGGAAGCTTGTGAAGGAAATTAGAGATTTAGGCTGCTTCCTGTCAGACCTGCCTCGGGCATACTGGGGTGATAGCAGGAGCTGCTGGTCTTGTGGTTGAGAAATCACCTATTTCACAGTCAAGACCATCATTCAACTAGTGGCCAGTCATGGGGTTTTTGTTTTGTTGTTTGTGTCTGTTTGTTTGTTTCACCTCTGTTCCTCTGATGTTGACATCACAAACCTCCCTGGTATCCATGATGAGGAAGTGAAAGGGGTCCTCAGCTTATGTTTCCTGTCCCGGTCTGACTGTTCAGTGGGGAGTTTTCTATCTTGGCCTCTTTGGGGTCCTCAGTCCTCATTAAGGTCCTCACATGGGGTCCATATAGGGCCTGGCACCTCCACCCCTTGCACTGAAGTGTAGCTGCACTTTCGATCTAAGGATTTCATTTCCCACAAACCTAATATATATAAGTGTTGGGGCAGTTTCTACTTGAAACTCCTGCCCTGGTTCTTCAAGGGCTGAAATTAGGGGCAGAGCCAGAATCTTTGCTTTCCTTTCTGCCTCGTGGTGAGTAGTCCTTTGGCCCTCGTTTTGAGCCCTGACCCTTTCCATGGCCTGGAATTCCTCTCTCCCTTGCCCTTAGGCCTGCCCCTCATATCACAGCCTGCACCACCCTGAGACCCCTAGAAGAAAGTGGGACTCTCATCTGATCCTACCTGTCCTTGGTCTCCTGAGGCTGAGAGTAAGAAACTAATGCTTTCCTACTCCTTCTCTTAAGGGATGTGTGGCTCCCTTAGTCCACAGGGTATTCCTTTGATCTCCGAAAAAAAAAAAAAAAAAAAAAAGAAATCTTCCCACTGCTGCTGCTTAGGCCATAGTCCTATAGACCAAGTTTCTCAACCCTTTATGACACCATAGGAGGAAGTATGTCATATTCTGTCATCAATGCCCAGGTATCCAAAGGGTGCCAGCAAAGTCAGAGTTCTGTATGATTAATTCAGTTCTGAGGGAAAAGAGCTCCCTAGGTCCTTACTCAGGATCCTCACCTTGACTAGGACCTGAGACTCCTTTCTTCGCTTGCCTGAGATCCCTTCCCTTAGAGCAAGGCACTCGGGTTTCTGACCCTTTCTTGTCGAGTCAGCCTGACATCCTTACCGAGGCATCCCAGGGTTGATGGCAGGGGCAACCTCTGTGCCAGCTCACTATTCTGGGGTCCGGGGTCTCCACAGTCATCACTCAGGATTCTGCCCATGTTGAGTGGCAGTACCTGGGATGCCTCCCTCTATTGTTAGGTCTCAAAGCCATCACTCCCCAAGGTGTCAGAGAGGGAAAGTCAGGGAATGCTGCATGAAGCTACTCCTGCTTATGCCTTTCCAAGTATGGCATCAGGATTCAGGCTCCTTGGGGCCCTCTCTGATCCTGGTCTTCACTTAGGATCTTCACCTTGACTTCCACCAAGCCCTGGGTTTCTGCTTTCTTTCAACCTAAGATTACCCATGTAGACCAAAGCTCAAATGTCCCTGAGAGCCCTGAAAATAAGTGAGGGAAGGCTTACCTTGGCACTTCTGCCTTGGCCTCCTGGGTCTGAGAAGGGTCACAGGCCAATCTTCCTATGACTGTAGTTATTATGGGGTGTTGGTCTCCTCAATCTTAATTTATCAGTCTTCCTATGGACTCGGGTCTTTTTTTTTTTTATAGTTTAAAAACCAAATACAATTATTTTTTATTACAGGGTCACAGTCTTTCATATTCAGTGCTTTGGGGGAAAGTCTTTTCTTGAAACAATTCCTCAAATCGTGTTGAAAAACATTTCATGTCTTCTGCAGTGCCTCAGACGCATAAATAACAACATTAAGGGGCACCTGGGTGGCTCAGTCGGTTAAGCGTCCGACTTCAGCTCAGGTCATCATCTCGCCATTTGTGTGTTCGAGCCCTGCATGGGGCTCTGTGCTGACAGCTCAGAGCCTAGAGCCTACTTTAGATTTTGTGTCTCCCTCTCCCTCTACCTCTCCCCTGCTCACACACATTCTCTCTCTCTCTCTCTCTCAAAAAGAAACAAACATTTAAATTAAAAAAAAATAAACATTAATACACATATTTTTCAGTTAAACAGCTAAAAATGGTAATTTCACTCTTGCGCAGTGATGGTCCAGATTAGGTTTCAAGGGAGTTAAATTTCTGATGACCAGAGCACCATCCAGAAACCTGGGGAAAATTTCTCATGGTACAACCCAGTTGACTGACGTTAACTTTTCCTTTTGCAAGGAATAGTAGGCATAATGCTCACAGGTAGTTACTATTTTGCTTTCTCATTAGTTGTCTGAGATTCACCACACAATGCAGTTTCCTAGACTGTGTTAACTTGGTCATAAACTCTTGGACATTGGTGGGGAAGTCTGAAATGGGTGGTCCAAGTGGTTGCTCTTTGCTCCCTGACTTCAAGGGTGGCAGTAGGAGCCAATGGTGCCAAGTTTGCACCGAAGCTCGGAGTCCAGGTGAAAAAAATCATAGCCCTGCGTTCAGGCACCAAATAATAAGGTTTTGGGGGTTGTGGGGGGTTTGGAGCTGATGGCCAAGAAGGAATTCTTGAAGACCTCTTTGGCACAAAAAGGTGATTTTATTAAAGCATGGAGACAGGACCTGTGGGCAGAAAGAGCTGCCTTTTTTTTTTTAAGTTTCTTTAAAATTTGTTTATTATGAGAGCAAAAGGGAGAGTGAGAATCCCAAGCAGGCTCCATACCAGCAGTGCAGAGCCTGATGCGAGGCTCAAACCCACAAACTGTGAGATCATGACTTCAGCCAAAAATAAGAGATGCTTAACTAACTGAGCCACCCAGGCACCTCTCCTGACTCTTCTTTGAAAGGCTTCCTGGGAAATACCTCATCCTTCCAAACTCCTGCTTAGTCTCCCTACTGCAAACCTGGCAGCAAATGAGTTGATTCCCAGGAGTAATGTGAGATGATGAAACTATAGTAGAGGCAGGGGCCCAGGGGCCCAGGGCCCGTGGTATGCTATTGCAGATCTCTTCTTTCTTCTTTCTTTCTTCTTTCTCACACACTGATCTCTTCTTTCTTTTCACAGACTTAGCCTCTTACATAACTTCACTTCTAATAGATTTACTTTCCACAATAGAGGGACTGAGCCACATGATACTGTGATTCCCTGATCTTTTCAGGTTTATTGACATTTCCTTTGTTGATAACATTATTGTCGCTGAATACTGTCTCTTTCTTTATTCATACTTAACATTGATTTTGCTATTGCTTGTTCCTTGGGCTTTGTATTCCAAAACCATATTTGGGGTGTGAAATCATGGTTTTTAACACCTGAAATACCTTTGGGAGTAATGAGCAGAACAGTGAAGTAAGTGATACACATATGCCTCGGGCTGAGAGGAGTGGCACTGTGGGCTCTTGAGGAATTCAGAGCCAGGGTCTAGTCCAGTGCTGTCACTTGCCAGCCTTGAATTTAAGAATATTCCAAGTTCTTTATTCGGAAAGTGAGTCTGATAACATTTGTCATGTAGGACTATAGACATATAGGTGATGGATATTACCCATTTGGCATGGTGTTAGGCAAAGTTTGGTGCTTTTTTTTTTTTTAATGTTTAGTTTTGAGAGAGAGAGAGAGAGAGCACAAGCACGATCCAGGGAGGGGCAGAGGCAGAGGGAGAGAGAGAATCTCAAGCAGGCTCCGCACTATCAGCGTAGAGCCCGATGTGGGGTTGAACTCGAACTCACCAACCGTGAGGTCATGACCTGAGCCGAAATCAAGAGTCAGATGCTTAACCAATGGAGCCACCCAGGTACCCCACAAAGTTTGGTGCTTTTAATGAACGGCCGTTATTACTAAGATGATTGTGACCCCTGATGATAAAATTGTTTCTTCACAGAATTTTATTTCCAGCCTGTATTAGACAATATCCAATTACTAACAGTATAGAAATCCAAATCCACTGAAATGCTACAGGGCAAATAAAATCCGTAGTATTTCTCCACTAGAGCATCTGTTGTTTAATATAGGTATGGGGCTGTCTTCCTCAATTGGATGCAACTGAAAGTTTCTCTTTGTGTCAGGTACCAACGACTTCCCTTTTAGGTCCCTTTCCATCCAAACCACCCCTGTTGTCATTCATTTTATCGCCACCAAAATTCATGCCCTCTCTTAAGAGTTGGACAAATTATACTCAAAATAACCTAGTTAAAATGCCCTTCTAACAGAGTGAGCTCGGGCACTCCCATCCCATGAAAAGCAAGAAAGTCCAGGGCCTTCTTGGCATCACACTTCAATGAAGTATTACCCTTATTACTCAGAAGCTCTCTGGACGTTCTCTGCCTAAAATACGTCATTTGTGTACTGCGTCACCTGCACTGGGGCAAGCGCATAGGACCCATTCCATTCAGGCCTCAGCTAGGGACTGACACTGGTTTTCACACAACCCCAGAGTAAATATGAAAAACTGTTTTCCACTATAGGCCTGGGCTCCCAACTCTGAGAACCATCATCTAAAGACCTGGCCCCTCGCTGCCCACCACTCGCCCGGCCACATCCACCCCACAGCACAGCCTGGCTTAAAAT